CCCTAATTTATTCCTTATAACAGGCCCCTAAGATTAGGTAGGGGCAGGTACTGTTAGTTTCATTTTATGTATGAGGAAATTGATCTGTAGGCTGATTCTATAACTGGGTATGTATAAAAGACTTTATGGCTTGCCCAAGGCCACCCTGTTAGTGGCAAGCTGACTAGCACCTCAAACTCGGAGTTAGAGTCTGCCATTCTACCTTCTAGACCAGTGGTTTTCCGGCTATGCTTGCTTCTCAGGGGCCAAAGAGGTATGGGAGTGTGTGTGTGAGCAAGTGGGGCTTGCGTCGCTGACCTGCACTTAAACTAGGGCAGGTCTGCTTTGATCTGTTTGTCTGTTTTTACATCTGGACAGGATTTCATTTAATGAAAGGCTCTGCTACTGAAATGTTTGAAAACCACTTGTCTAGATGAATATTTCTCAGAGAGAGTATTGTGGGTTGAATTGTATCCCCTCAAAAGATATATTCAAGTCTTGACCCCTAGTACCTGTGAATGTGACCTTGTTTGGAAAAAGGGGCTTTGCAGATATAATCAGGTTAAATTAAGGTCATCCTGGGTTAGGGTGGGCCCTTACATCAAATGATTTGTGTCCTTATAAGAGCAACAAGAGGAAGATTTGGACCCAGCGACATGGAGGAAAGACACAGAGAACTCTATGTGATGATGGAGGTGGAGATTAGACAGATGCACCTACAGGCCAAGGCATAGAACGGATTCTGTGCTAGAGCCTCCAGAAGGAACGAGTCCTGCCAGCACCTTCATTTCATACTTCTGTGCTCCTGAACTGTGAGAGCATACATTTATTTTAAGCCACCCAGTTTGTGGTTATTTGTTATGGCAACCTTGGAAACAAATACAGAAAGGTACATAGGTCTCTTAGAAAGGGGTGGAAGTGGCCTTCTTAAAATGCTGATTCCTGGCCTAAACCCCAAGATTCAGATTCTGTAGGTAGGCAACAGGGCTCAGGTATTTTCATTTTGACAAGTTCTCTGTATGTATAATGACTGATCTTTGAGCTGGTTTTGACCATACGCAGATACAGGATCTCTGGCTTGCAGCTGGATTGGCTCCCTGCTGATGATGCTCCTCGAGTGGTTCCTAGACTCAGTGGGCCAAAGGGAGGAGGCTTGGTAGATGGGAAATAGGCTGGTATTAAACTTTCTGTAGTCCAAACATTTTGAAGTCTGAGGATTATTTAGGAGTGTTTACCCCAAAGAATCACAAATCACCCAGGTGTCCAAAGTCTACCCCTATGGAAATAGACCATAGTAGATAGGGAGTGGACACTGCCAAAAGGGTCAGATTTCTGGAGCAGCAAGAAAACCACAGAATATCACACACACAATAAGACAACAGAGTAGCACCACACACACACACACACACACACACACACACACACACACACACACACACACTCAGTCTCCTACTCTTCTGGTGTAGGAAATTCTATCTGATAGAGCTTAGCCATTTTTACTTCAAGAGTTAAGGCTTGGTCCCTATTAAAAATGCAAGTCTCCACGTTAGTGTTGATACTTGAAGCCAGTGTTAGTCATTTATGCCTGGCTTATGATCTTTATCTGGGAGCAGTTTTGATAGACTAGAAGGGGGAAAAGAGCAAAATGGACTGTTGTAAGGATGGAGCAGAGCGGGTCTTGCTGCCAGCCTGAGGCCAGACCCTTTGCCAAGTAAAACCAAAGAGGGCACTAGTTTATCTACCCATAATTGATGGAGGTCAGCTGTGCCCAATCCTGTGGCAAGCTCAGAGAGGGCCTCCGTGAAAAAGGACAGGTGTTTGGGTCCTGTGGGTGGGAGGAGCAGCTTCCTGAAAGTAGCCTACCCCACTGGACCCAAGGCCTCTCAGGGGTCCTGCGTTTGCTCACATCACTGACAGCTCCCAGGTAACTCTTCTGTCTCCCAGAAAGCCAAACCTCCAGCACTGTGGCAGCCTGTTGTTACAGTTACTGACATACAACTTATCACAAAGATTCTCAGCAATGGAAGAAAATGAAACCTAGCAGAGGCTGGTGTGGAGAGGGGTTGGGAGAGAGAGGAGAAAGGGAAGAGAAGGCTGCTGAAGGGACTTAGGGGTGGAGCTGATGGCTTTGTGGGTTTGTACATATGGTGCGATATTCAAGTATGGATAGAGGAGGTCTTATACTAGCCATGTGTCTGAAAGGATCTTGGTAGAAGACAGCCTGTCCCGGATAGCTTCACCCTGGTTCCATATGCCTGACATTCTACCATTAATGGACCATTACTGTGCGTTAAGTACTGCCTTTCTTCAGGAGAGGTTGTGCCTTCCACTGTACTTTAGAATGAGTTTACCTGGTGCCTTTCTTCCTCAGTGTTTGCCAGAGCACTGGGGAGAGATGGGGGAAATGGGGGCCATCAAGTAAGGATTGGCCTACTTTCAAAAGTTAGATAGGGCTGACACAGCTAGTCCCCTCTTTGGAAACTCCGCTGTGATTGCCTTTCTTTTCAAAGCAGTTATGAAGCTAAATGGGATTAAATATGAAATTCCAGGGTGTCTTGTTCAATCAGCTGGCCATGTCCTTTTCTGGTAGATACACTTAACTCCTTTATGTTCATCAGCAAATATTTATATACCATCCATTATACACTAGGCACTGGGTTAGGTACTACTGGGGGAAGCATGGAAACAGTTGGGCATTAGATTATACCTCACATTTAAGAGACAATCTAGTTACAGAGACCAGACATTTGCACAAGTAAGGCTGGCCAACAGTATGTAGTAGTATGAGATGAAAGGTAGAGCCAAAGGCTACATAATCTCAGAGGTGGGCAAGATCATTATGGAGCTAAGGAACCAGGTAACCTTTAGTTCAGATTAACATATTACATCACTCAAGCTCTTAGCAGGGCTCTGGGGAAATGGGACACAGAACAAATCAGTTTTGATGTGGGTGGTGACATTGATTGACCACAGAACATGTTCCTACCTCTTTGCTAGTCATCCAGATCCTGTAGGCCTGTCCTTTCCAGAGAGCTCATTCATCCTCCGCTGATCTGCCCTGTCTCAGAACTCCTGTGCTGGTAATTCTAAGATGTCCTCAGACTGCTGGTGAAGCAGTCTAGCCTAGTAGTTAAGAGAGTGGGTTTAGGAGTTGGCTGCTTGGGTTTGAATCCTGGCTCTGACATTTACTGTGATTTTGGATAATTGACTAAGCCATCCTGTGAGTCCATTTTTCTCATTGGTAGAATGGGGACAATAATAATAGTGTTCACCTAACAGACTTGCTGGGAGGATTAAATGAGGTAAGTTGTGTAAGATGCTTAGCACACTGCCAGTTGCATACTGTTCAATCATACAATAAATATTTATTGAATGTCTGTGATATTGCAGGCACTTTCTTAATGCTGGGATGCAGCAGTGAAGAAGAGAGACAAGGTCCCTCTCTCTTGGCACTGTGTTAAATGCTAATGGGGAAAGGGGGATTCAGGCCCTTTATCAAGGAATGTTTAATCTCGCATCTTGCTTTCTGCTCTATCTATTCTAATTCTTAGTCTGAGTTATCACTTAGCTTATTTTCATTCCTTTTTATTGAACCAGGCCAGTATTAAAGCTATGAAATTCCTTCAAACCCAGCTTTGGCCATATCCTGCAAGGTTTAATGTTGAGTGTTTTCATTATCAATACCTTCGAAGCGCTTTGCAATTTTGGCTTTGGCTTGTATTAGTTTTACTTTTTAATGTAGTATGCCATGAGTGATGACTCTGCATTTTCTTTGTCCCTACTATATGTCCCTGATATGCTCCAAATGAAGAGAGTGAGGGGACTTGTATGACTTGGAGGGTTTAGAAGAGACTAGGGGGAAACAGGTCTGGAAAAGACCATTGATGAAGGGTATTGAGTGCTAAGCTTCATGAGTTGGGTTCTCTTATGATTAGATATGTAGTCACTGAAAAGATGCACAGGAATGACAGGATTGTTATGCTATTTCAGGAAGAATAAGCCAGCATCATTGTTCAGGATGGCTTGAGTGAAAGAAAGAGGCTAATGGCAGGGAGTCCAGTTAGAAGATTTTCATGTTAGTCTAGAACAGTGGCTCTCAAACTGAGAGCGCATCAGAAGCATATGGATAGCTTGGTAAGACACAGTTTGCTGGGCTTCTTCCCCAGAGCTTCTGTTCAATCTGTGGTGGGGCCTGAGAATTTGCATCTGCATTTCTAACAAGTTCCCCTGCTGATGCAAGCATTGTTGGCCCAGAAACTGTGCTTTAAGAATCACTCATCTAGGAGAGAGATTATGAGAACCAGCAGCAGAGTGGTGGGATCTCAGCCAAGGAGGACAGAAAGTAGGTAAAAGATCTAAGTATTCTTAGATGGGGAAGGAAGAAACCACAGGGTTTAGGGATTAGACATGGAGACAAGGGAAAGGAAGGACTCAAAGATGACTCCAGAGTATCAAACTGAGGTGCCTTGGAGAATAGGAGAAACACAGAGGCAAAAACCCTGACATCTCCAGGTGGAATGCAGTCACATGACTGGTACTGGAAAAATACGTGAATCCCTATATCCATTTGCACCGTTTCACTCAAGTTAAAGGCCTCCTGTACTCCTTTAAAAGAGAGGCTGATGAGAAGGAGAAAACTCAGGGCTGTGTTTGATCTCTCCTTTTCTAGAATGTAACCTTTGAGTAGAGGATATAAATGAAGATAGCAGAGGGTAGGGTGGATAGAAGGAGCTTGAATATTCTGAAAATGTAGAGCACACTTTGGGTTGTGAAGCATGGAATGAATATAGGCAAATACTAATAAGGAAGAGACAAATGAGTAAAATTCAGTGTGAGTCATGCAGGGGAACTCTAGAATACCACCTCAGATCACTGATGCTATTTCTGAGGGCAGAGGGCTCTCATGCCATAATAGGGCTTCTCACCTTCAGCCTACCTAACCTTCCCTAATGTCAAGGCTTCTGACCCTGGCACCCTGTAATTCCCCCAGCTATCTCCCAGCCTGTAGAGACTTGTCTTACCTGCTTCTCTCCACTGGGCCTCCTGTAGCTGAGCAGAAGCTCCACGGCACCCACTACTTCCTTGCGGATCGCATAGAGCAAAGCATCGCCTACGTACACACTGTGGTTTAGCAGTAGTTCCATGATCTCCAAGTTCTCATTCTCGATGGCAATGAGCAGGGCACTCCGGCCCAGTGGATCCATGCAGTTGATGTTGACATTGTAGTAGATCTCAGCTTCTTGTAGGGCCTGCTTCACAGTGGCGTAGTCCCCCTTCTCCACGGCATTGAGGAAGGCTTTCTCCTCTGCAGAGAGCTCTGTCTCAGCCCTCACAATTTGCAGGGGGATGCGATCTCTGTACGGTGAGTAGTTGACCTTTTTGTAGTACAACTGGGCCATGGTTCACAGCAATTTAGAAACCTGAGTGACGAGAGGGAGGAAGACCAAATATTCTTAGATGCCTGAAGGTTTCAAGTGGCAAGTTATGGAAGCAGCCTTGCTAAGGGGTTGAAAATCCTAAATTGTTTTAATGCTGCAATCTTTCTCCTCTCACAAAGGAATATAGTAGAAAGAGCCCAGGCTGATTAGTCAGAAAGACCTGAGTCCAAATCCTAGCTTTACCAGCTCTGTGACCTTGGATAAGTTATTCAAACCCACTGTGCTTCAGTTATTATTAAGGTTATAAATATCAACATTAATGGCAGTTATCACTTAGTGACTCCTTACCATGTACTGGACCCTGTGTTACAGAATAGTTCTCACTTCCCGAATCTATTATGAGAGTTAAATGAGATAATACATTATCAAAGCAACTTGCACAGGTCAGACCTCCTGAGACATGGAACAAGTTTGCTCCTTCCTTCCCTTTTGCTGTCTGAAAATACCTGTAATAATGCTTCTGATTAGTGACTCAAAGTTGGAGCTTATCTTTGGCCAATTTCCTTCGGGCCCTAGGCCTGAAGGCCTGCACAAATTAATTTTCAGGATTACATTTGCAGCTGCCCCAAATGCAGATCCTGGATTGAAGTCTGTTTTAGTGGTAACTGAACCCTTGCTTCTTGTCTACTGCTCACTGGGAAAGGCGTATTAGCTCCAATAGGCCAAGCCATGCTCCTACTCTGGCCACTCACGCATTTTTCTTCTGCCATTCCAAACCAAGGAGCTGACAGGTCTGCAGATCTGTTTGATTCAATTCCGAGAAGTGAATGGTCTGTTTTTTATATGCCACATCAGAAACCAGATTTTAATAGAGTTGATTTTAAGGTAAAACCTATTATTAAGTTCCTGCAATGTGCCTAACTTTCTCTGGGAGACCAAGAAAAAAGTATTTGCCTTTATTATATTATATATTTATATATAATTAATAAAATACATAATATATTTCTTTATAATTAACTAAATATATAATCTATATTTATAATTTACATATATAATCTGTGCAATTTATATATATAATTAATTATATAGAATGAATCACAGTATAGAGGTCTTGCCTTGTACTTCACAGATCAAATTCATGCACATTCCTCTCTGACTCCTTGTACTAACCCTGTGAGGTAGGAGTGGTTATCCTCCCAAGGGGAGAGATGAGGCTTAGACCAGTTAGGTGATTAGCTCCCATTTTTTTCCCATCCCTGGGACCTCCAGGACCCTCTGGAGACTGAGTCTGGATGGACCCATTTAAGTGTCTTTCATCACTGAACTGTTTTGCCAGCAAAAGAAAATGGAAATGTGATAAAGGGCCTCTTGTCTCATCTCTGGCATGTAAGAGAAGATGAAGACATGAAGCTTCTACAAACATTTGCCTGACTCTTCCAGGTAATTACATCCCCACTTTGGCAGAGGGAGCAGTACCTACTATACCAAGTGGCATTTGCAATTCATGTGCTTTTGATCTTCTGGGAACTTAGTATTTGAAGGTGAGTGTTGCCTCTTGATCCGAATAGGCCCAAATGACAATTTTCTCTCTTCTAAATCTCTGAGGGCAGGGTGCTGTTTAGCCATCTCAAGAAGCACTGATATTTTCCTGTGCTATTTTCAAGTCACTCAGCAGTGGCTAAGGGAAAGTGGCACTTAGAGTAAGCATTTGTCATTCATTTAACAGCAAATGCCTTTAATAATACTAATTGTAGTCTGCTTCCCTGCCTCCCCATCTCCATTATAAACAAACAGGCAGGAGGAAGAGGAGACAATGTAATCTCCTGAAGAGAGATTCAACACTCAATTCAATTTATATTTCTTTAGTTAATGCAAACACAGTGGAAGCCTTCACTACTCACGTTTGGAAGATGTGAAAGAGCAGGCTCTTACCTTTATCATCTCTTGCCTAGACCATGCCAAAGCCTTATAACTCATCACCCTGACTCCATTCTCTGCCCCTTCAGTCTGTCTGCTATGCCACCCCCAATTTATTCCATGAAATACAAAATGTCACCTCCTCAGAGCAGCCCTCACCAACCACCCTCCCTAAAGCAATTCCTTCATATTCTTTTTTCTATTGTACTCTTTTCTTTTCATGATTTGTAGTTACATATTCTTTGTCTTACTGGGTAATCATCTATTGTGTCCAATTAGCTTTAAAGCTCAAGTGCAGGGATTACATCTGTCCTTTTTTCCTAGAACCTGCACCTGGCTAAGTTCATGGCACACCTGGGTGCTTGATATATATTTGATGAATGAATGAATAAACCTTCCATAATACTCTTTCATCTCTCTTCACCCCAACCTCAGTTCTAGCCATACTGAGTCATACTCTCTGAATTTCCCTTTTATGATCTTTGCACATGGCTTCATTCCACTCTCTCCACTTAATAAACTTCTCAGCTTCAGCACCTTGCTCATAGGTCCCCTTCTCTGTGAAGTCTTCTCCTAATAGTTTCAGAAAGCTAGCCAATATCCCTCTGAGTTCTCTGCTGGAACTTGGATCATGTTTCTTCAGTGTCACCCAACTGCATGACCGTGTTCCTGCCAGTAGGGTGGGGTGGCTTGATTCTTCCCTTCTCGACACTCACACAAGGTCTGGAACATGGCAGGTATTCAACAACATAGATGTTTAATGAGCAAATACAACCTAACTAAGGAGGATTGGCATGGTCATGGAATGAAATACTGTATTATGTGGTACTGATTTGATGCTTTGAGATTTCAGAAAGAGCTCAGCGAGGGCTGGAAATCTCAGAGGTTTCATGGAGGACGTAGTTCTTACACAAGTCCTTGGTGGATGAATTAAATGTGAGCATCGTCCAGGGCAAGATCCCTGACTTCTTCTTACTGCAGAGCGCAAGAACAAAGGTAGTGAGACAGTGGTGCGAGGTATATTTTCCAGACTATCGATATAGGGATTAGAGGTGAACTAAAATTCCGAGGTAGTATCTCATAACCTCAGTTTCTCCATCTTAAAAATGATCTTAAAACTTGCTGCCCATTTGTCACTTAAGAGGCTACCATGGACAAAAGGAGTATGTCTTTTCAGATGGTGTCACTGGTGGTGCTGGACTAATCATTATTGCTACAGGAAGATCTCTGCCTAATTTAGTAAGGCACAGCTGTGGGGGAAACTGTAAGGGAAAAGTGAGAATGAAAGGAACTCCCTCACTTCATACTCTTTTATGTGCCAGGCTCTATGCCAAGAGATGGTACAATAAAATAATTGTAATAGTTTTGAATACTTAATATGCCCCAGGCACTTTGCCAGGTACTAGGGCAACACTATTACTACCACTGCTTCTAATAGTAATAAAAATGGAGGCAATAAGTAGTACCATTCATTGAACTTGCACTATGTGCCAGATGCATGGGTTATAGTAGTGAAGAGAGAGGACAGTAAAATCACAGTAATTTGAGATTTGAAGTAAGTATAATTGGCTAATATATAGTTGACTCAGAGTCTAGTTTTATCTCTTGCATTTGAAACTTATCGGATCTATTGCATTTCTAGTGGGCTATGTTATGTGAAGCCTTATAGTGTTCCCCTGTAGAGAAAACTATCTCCTCCAGAGGTTTGCCTGAGAGTGTACAATTAGGGAATCACTCCTTTGCTTTAAGGCATTGCATTTCTAAAATTACCCCTGGAAGGAATAATCAGTCACATAACTAATAGATAATAACACCTTAATGTGGATTCTTTGCTTGGGAAAGTTGCTATGGCCTTGGGAGTAAAGAGATGTGTCTCTAGGACAGGAAAGATGTGATGGAAGGGAAAGGAGAGGCCTGGTGTCTAACTTTGGAAATCTCTTTTATGTATCCATGCCCACCTTTACACTATGCATTTAGAGTAAAATGGGTTCCCTGCATTGTCTATCTACGTATAGGCTTACCCAGATGCCTAATAACTTTCCTAATGCCTTGCACTCTTCCAGTCACCACTGGTCCCACTTGACCCTCACAGCTTTAGCCTCAGCCTCACTCCAGGCTCTGAGACCAATCCTTTCTCTTTATGCTGGTTGTTGGTCCTACTCTGCCATTATTCTGGAGTAAGTAACTAATGATGGAGTTTCTGACATCTCTTGAGGATGTATTATTGGAAAGATCCCTTCTCATCACCCTTTACCTTTATTCTTGGCAGACTGCACTTATCTGCCATTAACCTAAGCCAAGAGATGAGGTTAGCTTTCCCAGCATTATGTACTGGCCTTGAGGTGTATTCTTAAGCAAACAACATGAAACCAGCCAGCACTCTATGAGTGAACCTCATTCCCAATGTAGTTCCCCAAGCATGAAAAACTGGGAATGGTCTAACAGGCTGCCTCAGGGGGCTTATCATGTTCTTTCTTTTCTGTGCTGTTAGCTAGAGGAGATTGTCTAATGGGATCTGTGGCATTTGTGGGCTTAAATGATGTGATTTAAAGAGCTTAATCAATGGGCTGGGCAGAAAGCCAGGGCACAAAGTGGTCTTGCCAAATCCCATCCCAGATCACTCCCCAGCTCAGGGCTTTTTTCCCCACATAGCTAGTAAGTGGTAGAAATGGGATTAGAGCCAAGATTCTGACTCCAGAGTCTACATTCTCAACTCCTTCAATGAAGGTAGATTCTTTTGTATGTGTTATATATAATGCCTGTAATAGTGCTAGGATTAGTAGATATTCAGTGTTTCAATCTAATAAACACTTGTTAGGCACTTATTATTTGTCAGGCACAGAGCACTTGGTAGTGGGCAATACAAATATACATATATCAGTGACATAGTCCTTGCCTTCAAGTCCAGAGGGAGAGACAAGAATGAAAATCAGTTAATGTACTACAGTGTGATAAAGATTCTACTATATAAGAGGGACACAAAGGAGGAAGTGTTCAATTCTACCTGGGGAGGTAATTGAAGAGGAAATATTTGGGCTATGTCTCCAAAAGTTGGTAGGAGTTTGCTAGAGAGCAATGTAGGGATGGTCATTCTAGACAATGGACACAGTATGTA